CATTATCTCATTAAAATGTTTCTGTAGCTTTTTAATCTCAGAGTCATACACTTCTTTATTTTCTGTAATCTGTTTTGACATCTTCTTTTTCTTTTCATCAATCCTATGCAGGTCCTCTTCCTTGATCTTCCTCAAAAAATTAAGCAGACCTCTCCTCCTATGGGTGGCTGCCGTGGGTATAGTGCTCCATTCGTGATCCCTGTGATTTGTTTTCGCACACTTAGCACAAATAAATTCATCACAATCTTCACATGTCATGTCAATAAGAGAATCATGGGTTTTACACATTTCAATATGCTCTTGAGGAGAGCCTAGTGGATATCGTGGTTTACTGGTAGCCATGTTTGTTGAATGTTGCCTATCTATGACCTAGATTTGAGGTAAAGTTAAGGTAGCTATACACTGTGAAATGATTTGGACATTAAACTACCGATATGCACAGTAAACAAACAGGTGTACATGCATTAACACATCATAATACGAAGAATTAGATTTGATCTAGGTGTATTCAGGTGTCACTAAATTGATATACATTTGTATATATTTCATGTACATGTATGCATTTTTGCAAACCAAAGGGCTTTTGGGATTCTATTGAAATTCTCCCCAGACAATGAATAAAGCTATGTGCTTTTAAGTCAGACCCTCAAACAAAGAGAACAGAATGTCAGTTTTTTTTTTTAAAAGAGGCCCACGGGCCACAACGCTCAACTGAGTCAATTTGACCCTGCTGTTCTTCATCGGTAGATTTTTTTTCTCCTTCTATACACTGTTATGAAAAAAGATACCGATGGGTCACAATGCTCATCTAAGGTAAAACTGCCCATCTATATTTCATCAACAGATTTTTCTACTATATTATTATTATTATTACATTCTGTGACCCTATCCTGTCCTGGGGGAGACGTTGAGTTTCAGACTTTAATCAGGCTATATAGAGTCCTAAATCTAGTAACGTGTAAGAGATGACGTGAACGCAATTTGACAATTTGACCACATAAAAGTTTTTCAAAAAGTCTTAAAAGAGGCAAAAGTGACCAAGTTCATTGTTGTAAACCTTCACTTCAAAGATGTACAACTAATCAAGATTTATGCTTTAAGCTATTCAAAGTGTGAAAGGTATGATTCAAGCAAAATATGAAAATGTTCAGCCATCAGATTTCCAAAACGAGGCCAAGGTGGCCTTCTTGGGCTCGACTTTAGTCCGGTTTTCTGATACCAGTGAAAAAAAAAATTATGTACAAGTGAATATTGTTGGACACTTGTGCTATTGGACAAGTGCATTTTAATGTAAAGGAGTCTCCAAATAACAGATAGAACTTCCCTGTCTATTGAATATTAATAGGTAGTTTCAATATGGAAGCTTTACACAACAAGAAATCCATGGGTTACATCGCTCACTTGAGCACATCGGATAGGAAAAGCGCAAATCAGCTCAGTTTTGAAAAGTTTACAGAGGGAGGTGGTGAATTTTATACTACTCGGGGCTGTCTCAATATAAATAAAACATAACTGTTGTTCATGAGAAAGTTTTAGCTTTTTTCTAACATTTGTTCCCATATAATACTTTGAATTTGATCCCCTATTGTAGGGTGCTTCCTGATATATCATGGCTTTGCCATTTTGAAAGAAAATTCTTCAAAGATTTCTTCCATATTTCTTTGTAAAACTTTGAACCCCCATTGTGGCCTCGCCCTAGCCCGGAGATTATGATTGAAATAAATGAAACTTGAATCTACACAAACAGAGGATGCTTCCATATAAATATTACCAATCATGGCTTTGCTATTCTTGAGAAGAAGCATGTATACGATATATCCTGGTGAGCTTGAGATAAAAGATACCACACAGTCTGACACATCTGTTTAATACTTGGATATTTAAACTTGAAAAGGACATTAATGGTAATCTAACAACCAAGCTATATGAAAAACGTGATGACTTTACCTTTTCTATCGTCAACTTCCCAAACTTATGCAGCAATATACCTTCATCACCTGGATACGGAGTGTATATTATATCTCAGTTGATTTGATATGCAAGAGCATGCTCAACGTATGAACAATTTCTTAAACGAGATAAATTATTAACAAGGAAGCTGATGAAACAAGAATATCAACAGTCTTGTTTAAAGTCATCATTTCGTAAATTCTATGGTCGATACAATGACCTTGTCAGCAAATACAATTTATCATTGAGACAAATGCTGACTGACATTTTTCATACTAATTTTTAGTCCATTATTTATACACTGAATTGACGACGGATTTTTCCGTTATTTCCCGATCATGACAAGGAGCACACGGCAGGGGATGCTTACTCCTGCGAGGCACCTGATCCCACCTCTGATGTTTCGGAGGTCCGTGTTTGCTCTGCTCCTATTTTGTATTGTTTTATGGACTTTGTTATTGAATGCTGTTCGTTATCTCCATATCCTTCTATATATTTCCATTTAAAACTTTGAACCCCCATTACATCCCCACTCCTGTGGTCCTGATTTAAACAACCTTGAATCTACACTACCTTATCCATATAAATAAGACCAATGATAGCTTTGCAGTGCTTGTATAGAAGATTTTTAAAGATAATTTCCAAATTTATCCCAATGTGAAACATTGATCAGCCATTGTGGCCCCACCCTACCCCCTTGAATCATAAGTTGAAAAAAACATGCTCATACACCACATGAAGATGTTTTCACATGAATTTCATCTTTCTTGGTCCAGTGGTTCTTGAGAAAAATATTTTTCCTACATTGATCGGCTACGGTTGCCCTCCCCTCCCCCCAGGGGTCAAGGTTCCAATAAACTTAAATCTAAACTAACTGGGGATGATTCCACACAACTTTCATCTTTCCTGTCCCAATGGTTCTTGAGATAGATTAAATATGCTATTTAACTATTTGCCACTCATTTGGAGACGCCACCACTTGCCGGTGGAGAACTGCAAATTTTGTCCTTTACCCGGCACTCAGGACCATTGCGCAGGGAGGAATCTTTTTCGTGTCAGCACCTGCTGCAACACGGGACCTCGGGTTTATATCATCTCATCCGAAAGATTATAGTCACCACGTCCCACAGTAGGATTCGAACCAGCGACCTAAGGATCAACTTCTTACTTCGCGACTATAGATATAGAGCAGGCGCTCTAGTACTGCGCCACGCGGGCGACTGGTTTGTTAGAAGAAGATTTTTAAATATTTTTCCTATGTACTGTACATGTATTCCTATGTCAAACTTTGATAGGTCATTGTGCTCCACCCTACCCCGGGGTTATTATTTGAACAAACTTGAATCCATACAACCTAAGGATGATTCCGCATGAATTTCATCTTTACTGGCTCAGTGGTTCTTGAGAAATTTTTTAAATGCTATTATTTTTCACTAATTATAATTATCTCCCCTTCGAAGAGGGCTTGGTCCTTTATTTAAACAATGGTGAATCACTTCGACCAAGTATACTTTGTGGCAAGTGTGATTGAAATTGACCCAGTGGTTCTTGAGAAGAAGATGAAAATGTTAAAAAATTACTTGACAACGACGATGCTTTTTTAACGTCATATTTGACGTCAAGTAAAACGTTTAGTCGAAGTCGCAAGAGTTATCTTCCCCCACTTACTACTAATGAAGAGAGGAAAGATCGTTTTGTCTGCGTTATATAACAGGACGTAGTTTGAGCTATCGAACTTTGTACCAAAAATTACATTATGCAAATTTATCAACATTCAATCAATCAAAGGGAAACATTGCATCTATAGAATGTTTTGGAAGGGTGGATACGAGGGAATGTTATTTCTTATTCAATGGTAATGGTGCATTTTAAAATTCAAAAATACGTAATTGCACCATACTGCACTCTGCTTCAATAAAATACAACGTTTCAAAAAATATATCCATTGCTGATCTTTTTAATCGAACAGCAAGGCTGATTATGTCCAAATGAAGATTTCATTTAATCATTTTAAAACTAAAACAACGTTATGGGCAAGATAGTTGATATTAATTTTTATGCAAATTTCAAGTATTGATATATTTAAAAAAAAAATGATTAATGCTCAACGAAATTTATATGCAATTTTGCAACGATCAAATTTTTACATGGATCTATAACAGATAACACGTTTATTGAGTGAATTCCTCTGGTTCGTTAACGAATTACTGCTAGGTATGGATTTATTAAAACGTACGTTTTTATAAAGAAAATATGGAAAGATCTCCAGATGCCATTTTGTAATAAATCAAATTAAGAGACACATAATTTCAGAGTATAATAAACAATTAATCCAATATCCGAGTGTGAGTTTGCGAGGTACAAATCCCTGTTTCGCTTTTTACATTCAGAAAAAAAATATAAAACTGGAAAGAAACAGTGTTCTCTCTCTCTCGGGTATTTAAGTATGCGCATGTGTGCGAGGGTGTGAAAGGGTGTGTGTGAGGTTGTGAAGAAGGGGTATGGAAAGGTAAATGATAAAACTGAACTCGTTTTACTTATATGTTGATTTATGTTCAGGCAGAAATTCATCATAAAATGAGACACTGTTGTGGAAAACATTTTCCTCAAACTCATAATTCATAAACACACAATGCAAGAACAGAAAATATATATTCTATTCAGAAACCTAACATCTTTCTTTTCCTTATATGATAACTATGATAATTAAGTGAACTGTCCAAATCATGTGTATTGTCTTTTCACCAATAGAACGCTTTTCTTCTCATATTTTTGATGAGCACAATTATCGCACAATTCAGCGGCGGCTGAACAAACGGCGCAGTCTGAATAGAAATTTTCGCTTCTCTTTTTTTTCTTTCTTCTGTAAAAAATAAATTATATAGAGTCAAACGTTTATATAAATAGGTTTTATAAAATACAATATCATTGTTCAGATACCAGAATAAAACAAAAGGAAAACATTGGAATAAAATAAGGATTTATCGTTACCTGTTGTTTGTTTGCTTTGATGCAACATAGGAATCGTCGCCAACCTCCCACTTTCACTTTCACTTTTGGTACTTGACCGTCCTCCTCCTGGAAGTGACAAAAATTATTCACATCACTTCAGACATTAGTTTTTTTTTTCTTTTGTTTCAAGCAGCAATCTGATGTCCTTTATTGTCGCATATCTGCGGTGATTTTCTTTGATCTTTCTGTGGTGATATATCCCATATCACATATGCGATAATACTTTCCACGCCCCTTCATATATCACTGCAGGAGGTGGAAATCAGGTCATGAGAAAAAAAAACTGATTTTATTTCACAAGTTCATAACCACAGAAAAATGAACATGTTTAGCTATTTCTTAGCCTTTAACTAAATTAAAATACATGTATTTAACTCGGTTGAAAGTTCCCAGTCGTTCAAAAGATTAATCCATTTTGAAAATTCGAAAGTTACGGTAAAATCTCCAAACTTTTTATCGTTAAACTCCTTGCTATTTGTTTCTGTGATTTCATATATGTCGAATGCCTGGCTTAAAAATAAATTGTCAAAATTTTCAAACTCAGTTAAAAACTCAAAGTCAAATTCACTAAGAACGTTCGACATGTTGGAGAGCTAGCTTGAAATGATTTTTTTTTTATTATTGAATTTTGACACTCTCAATGAAATTTAGGTCATCAGACATGCGACAAGTTGCTTACATCATAGATGCCTCGTACTATTGGTTATATCGTTTTCATGGGGCGTGGAAATCTCGGGCGCTCCACGCCCTCGATTTCCACGCCCCATGAAAACGATATAATCAATACTACTCGGCTTCTATGATGTAACCTATACAAAGAGCAGTATTATTTATTTATTTTTAGTTTTTTGAGTTTCATGTGCAAAAAATAGTTTATTATAAGTACCTACCAATTCGTTGCTTACATCTGTTTCTGACAAGGTCTTTAAGCTACAAACAAGAGATGGGGCAATCAAACGAAAGGACTAGATTTTTGCATCGGTTTTCTGTTTTGATCAGTAAAACTATCAATTATCAATTCAGGTACAAAATCCAAACAAACCTTGCTGCACCTGTGAACAAATCTTGAACGACTTCCGAAGCTGTGTTGTACATAATCTAAACAAGAAAGTAACACATTTTAATATTTTTTATAACAGAAAATCATGAAGTAGTTACGTTGCACTTTAAAAAGCAGTTACAAAATGTACACTATATATTATTCTATTTAACTATAAAATCCCATTGTTGGACGTGGAGACCGGTCCTTCGAATTAGACAATTAACCGAAGTCCCATGTCGCAGAAATTGCTGGCACGAAAAAGATCCCTCACAGTTCAATGGCACTAGTATAAGTTCTAGTATATGACAAAATTTGTAGCTCTCCACCGGCAAGTGGAGGCGTCTCCATATGAATAAAAAATTCTCGAGAGGGACGTTAAACAACAGACAATCAATCAATCAATCCATAATACCTTTTGCATTGCCAACTTCTCAGCCTTTGTCTTTTCTATGACTGCTTTCAGTCTGGTGGTATATTCCTCAGATCTTATTAAGGTAGGTTTATCCACCTCTATTTTAACTGGTCTGCAAACAGGAAATTATTCAGTGAATATTTAGGACCATCTTAAATTTAAAAAAAAATTGGTTGCCGTCTCCCGACCGACTGACTAAAATGATCCGACTCAAAACTTTTTTCAACCACCTGGAATTAAGATATTTTTTTCTTCTTTTTATTCCTGAAATTTCTCATTCTACATATTATGTTGAAATTTTCTGAGAAAAAAAAGATTTTACCACCTACCTACCGACCAATTATTTTCACCCTAAGTCGGCAGAGGGAAAGCAAACAATGCCAAACATTATTTTAAATATGGCCTAGACAAAAATTATAAATGACAACAATCTATAAAAACTTTTTTTCTTTCAAATTTCACTTGAACTTTCTTCAAATTGTTAATTTTTTTTTATGTGAACCCTATCGTTATCATAGTGAACATTGAATTGATCCGTATCATTGATGGGAACAAATCTTAATCTGGAATAATTAATGAAAATAGATTCCACATCTTGCAAGAGACAAGTCCCTTTAATTTACTTTGAGTACATACCCAGCAAGATCACAGTTATGAGTGGCCTGGCTTATAAGGTCATATACAGTTTCTTTTGCTGCTTTGTACAACAACTGTCAATGAAAAATAAAAGAAATGTAATCTACTATCGATGATGAAAATGTTTCTTAAAATATTAATTATAATATATTTATTTTATCCTGCGTCTTTCAAACATACAGTGTCTTTATGAAATTGATATATATCCTGATGCATTATTAAGAATATCTACTAAGTAGTTATGAGGATTTGAAATTAGAAAAAAGAAATACAGCTGTGTTTATGGTATCAAGTTTCAATGTAGAGTAGATCTTTAGAATAATATAAGGGTGTATAAAGCTACAATTAATTTTCTAATACTTTTTGAGTCATTTTCTTCTCGTTTTCATAGTACTCCTGTGTGGCCAAGATTCTTGCGTCCTCAAACTTTGCACGAGTGGCCGGAAAATTAAGGAAGAATTGTTCAATTTCGGAGGCTGTCATATTTTTAATCTAAAGAAATTAAAAGTCATTGTGGGTGAACATGTGTGAGTACAGTATACAAATCATAATATAAAATATTATTTGACATTAATTTTTCTTCTATTTTAAAATAGATACCTCGTGTATTTTCATTCTTGGTAGGCCCTCTGTCGTACGTCATCATTTGCAGATCGGAGCGGGGAAGTTGTTACGAACTGTCCCTCGTTTGAACTAAATAAACTGAAAGAATTTTTTTTAATCTTTACATATAACCCTTTTTAATATATACTCATTTAGATTTTTTTTTAATTTAATACTTTATGGGTTTATCATTTTGTAATATTTAAGGAATGAAGCTAATTTCAACTTATGTTATACGATATAACATAACTTGGGGCAGTTTACGCTTTATAAACCGCGAAGCGGAGCGGTTTATAAACAAGAGGCCCATGGGCCTTATAGGTCACCTGAGCATTATGCAACAACTTTACAGTGATTGAATTTGATTCATGTTTTAAGCCAGATGCTATGGCATTCACAATTTTGAAAGAGGCACCATTGATCATCATAACAATACACTTAGCAGTTGCTTAGTTTGTTTACTTAATACCCATATGCAGGGTAAGGGAACAAAAAATGCATTTCAACTAATCAGTAATATTCAGCAATAATCAGTAGTGCTTCTACCACACATGAACCCCTGACTCTTAGGCCTTGATATTTGATTAATACCAAGGAGCAGATTTAAAATCATTCATTCATTTTCAGTATATAAGTACAGCCCCCCCTTCTATGGTACCCCTGACCCTGGGGCCTTGAAATTCACAATTCTGGAAGATATGGCCCCTTGTCCAGCATAACTATATAGGTAGTTCATCTGCTTAATACCCTGGAGCAGAGAAGAAAATTTTCAAAGATTTAATGTATTTTCGCTATGTAATCAATAGAGCCCCGCCCTAACACTAGAACCCCTGACCCTGGGGCTATAAAATTCACAATTTTGGAAGAGGCATTCTTGCTTATTATAACTATGTACTTAGTTAGTTTATTTAATTCCTAGGAGCAGAGAAGAAGATTTTCAAAGAATTCATGTACATGTATTTTCGATCACTATATAATCAATACGTCCCACCCTAACACCAGAACCCCTGACCCTGGGGCCATAAAATTCATTATTTTGGCTGAGGCACTTTTGCTCATCATAACTATGCACTTAGTTAGTTTATTTAATATTCAGGAGAAGAAAAGATGATTTTCAAAGAATTCATGTATTTTCACTATATAATCAATAGAGCCCCACCTTAACACCAGAACCCCTGACCCTGGGGTTATAAAATTCACAATTTTGGTAGAGGCACTCTTGCTCATCATAACTATGCACTTAGTTTATTTAATACCCAGGAGCAGAAAAGAAGATTTTCAAAGAATTCATGTATTTTCACTATATAATCAATAGAGCCCCGCCCTAACACCAGAACCCCTGACCCTGGGGCCAAACAAATTCACAACTTTGGTAGAGGCACTCTTGCTCATCATAACTTTGTACTTAGTTGGTTTATTTAATACCCAGGAGCAGAGAAGAAGATTTTCAAAGAATTCATGTATTTTCACTATATAATCTATAGAGCCCCGCCCTAACACCAGAACCCCTGACCCTGGGGTTATAAAATTCACAATTTTGGTAGAGGCACTCTTGCTCATCATAACTATGCACTTAGTTTATTTAATACCCAGGAGCAGAGAAGATTTTCAAAGAATTCATGTATTTTCACTATATAATCAATAGAGCCCCGCCCTAAACACCAGAACCCCTGACCCTGGGGCCATAAAATTCACAATTTTAGTAGCGGCACTCTTGCTCATCATAACTATGTGCTTAGTTGGTTTATTTAATACCCAGGAGCAGAGAAGAAGATTTTCAAAGTAATAATGCATTTTCACTACCTACTTATTTAGCCCCGCCCTAGCACTAGAACCCCTGACCCCAGGGCCATGAATTTCATAATTTTGGTAGAGGACTCATTGCTGATTACAATCATGCAAACAGTTTGACTGCTTGATGTCCAGGAGTAAAGAAGAAGATTTTTAAAGATTGCATTAATTTTAGTGGTTTTGGCCCCACCCCTCAGGCCCCAGGGGGGCAGGGATCATGAAATTCACAATTTTTGTTCCCCTTCACCCATAGATGCTTCAGGCCAAATTTGGTTGAAATTGGTTCAGTGGTTGCAGAGAAGAAGCTGAAAATGTTCAAATGTTAACGCACAACGCACGACGCACAACGCACGACGCACGACGACAGACGAAAACAGATAGCAATAGGTCACCTGAGTTTACTCAGGTGACCTAAAAAGCGTAAACTGCCCCAAGTTTTGTTATATGGTATAACATAAGTTGAAATTAGCTTCATTCCTTATAATTTAATTTCAGTATAGACAATAAGACAATTTTTCCTCCAGAATAAGGCTTCAAATTGAGCATTATTTTAAAAGTAACGTCAAGCGGAGTAATACGTTTTTGACGTAACTCATTGTGACGTAGGCAAGTTATGTTATACAAACTATTATATGTTCCTCTGAATGATTCAGCCAATGAAATTGCTTGATATAAGTGAAATTAAATTATATACAAATGGTATAAGGTTGTCATACACACTTTCACATTTTTTTTCAACTCTACAACTTTTTGAAATTTAAATTTAATCTTTTATGAGATTCATTTAACTCTTCTTTAATTATCATCAGTTTGAAGGCTAATTTTATATTTAAATGCTGGGCGATTGTCAAAAAACATATCAATAATCGATTTTTTTTTCATTATAGGGACTGTAGTTCATCGTTTAGTATGTATTTACCTGGGGAAATCATAACGACGTGCAGTTGCACATGTGATCAGGTCACTAACATTATCCTGAGCTGCTTTATACAATAACTGTCAATAAAGAAATTAAAATCCGTTTAATTGTGTTTCACACCTAAGCGGAAATTGTTTTAAATAAGTTCTGATTATAATTTAAATTAAAGTCATATTGTGCAATAAATAAAATTATTATTGAAAACTTTGGCAATATGTACCTTCATTTTATGGTTATTTTTGGAAAAATCTTAATTTAAATGTAATATTACTAACGCATTTATCTACCTCCAGTGTTGCTCTTCTTTGCTTTGCGTAAATATTTTTTGTAGCTACGATTCTCTTGTC